AGTCATAGGAAGCACCAAGGCGTCTTGGTGGAGCTGGGCTGCACCCTGGGGCTAACACAACTGCAGGCATCAGCAAGGGATGGACAGGAGTGGGTTCCCTTGGGTTGCGGACATTCGGGGGGGTCCTCCCTCCTTGTGCCTATGGGGCCTGGGCACCAGGCTGGGGTATGGGGCCTCCACAGCCACTTGCCCCCTCTTACCCTGCTCTCTGCTTGCAGGTGACCGTTAACCCCACTGCTGGCTGAGGACGGGCACCGAGACGGTGGCACCCTGCATACGGATCCCGGTGCTGCATCCTCCTGGCTGTGGCTGTTGCACATGGCCTGGCATTCCCTCAGCTAGTAAAATGGGACCAAGTATCTTCTCTCTTCCTACTGGCACCCGCTCACGGCTGGACCGCCTGGCCGGCTCATGGCCACCGGTGCCAACTCCCTGTCCTACTGGAAACCCATTTTCTGCTCGGGATGCTGCTGCACCATAGCACTGGACAATGACTCGGGGCTGCCAAGCATTTGGATCTCCCCTCAGGACTTGCTGCTAAAACGGGTGCCGGTTTTTATTCCAGACTTGGGTTTTTCTCGTTAAAAGATGACCTTAGGCTCACTGGGAACGCCCCCCAAAATATGGATGAGTTGCTGCTGCTCTGGGTGAAGCAGGGGCAGCGGCTCTGGGCTGAACCCACCTATTTATCCCCCTCTTGGTACCCCCAGGGCTGTGGCTGGAGGAATGGCCCCAATCCCGGGGGTCTGCAGGGATAGGGAGAAAGGGGCCACCAGCCCTGTGAGGCATCATCTATTCCAGCACCCAAGGGTGGGGATACAATCCAGGGCCTCCCCAGCTCCGCTGGGCTCTGTACCGGCCCCCAGCCCTTCTCTCCTGGAGCACCGGGGCATCTTGGGGTGCATATGTGTGTATGTCCCTGCAAAGCACTTTAGGGTCCCCCCAGACCAGGCGTCCTCGCCAGGGACCGCATCTGGGAATGGTGTTGGACCAGGGCTTCGTTAGCCCCACTCGCCTTGTTAAGACGTACTGCAAGGAGCCCATGGCTGCCACTGGTGAACGTCCTGGATTGCAGCTGTGTCTGTGCCCTGGTTTGTGTTAATCTCATCACCATGCAGAACCGAGTGCTGCAGGATTTATCCCGCAGGATTTATCCCACAGGATTTATCCTGCAGTGTCCTCCAGGAGCATGCTGGGGCAGCAGGTGATACCTGTGCAATTTATTTTGGTTTTCTTTCCTATTTTTTTGGAACAAGTGCTGATGGGGCCAAATCCCTGCACCCTGGGGAAGAGCTCGCTGCTTGCTTGGGGCTCAGAATGGCTTTTAAATGAAAATAAACCCAGGATTTTCTAGCACGCCTGTCTGCTGTGGTGGTGCTGGGCTGCAAGCCCTGAAAATGGGGTACCCCAGAATCTGGGCTGTCCCGGTGCCCCTTCGCTGGCCACATCCTCAGGATGTGGATTACATGGGGACAGCTCTGTCCTCGCATGGGCTTAGGAATGGGTGGCATTGCCTTGTTCTCCCCTTGGGACAGAGCTGGTGGACCTGGGGCTTTGTGGCCCCAATGTCACACCACATAGGGATACTGTGTGGTCCAATGCCACCGGCATGCTGGTGGGTGCTCAGCATCACTTCTCCAGCATTGTGTCATGCCGGGGGGGACACCAGGCTGGGGGCACAGCCCTGGCTGGGGCAGGGGGACCAGGGGTGGCTTTTGGGGGACACCCAGGGCCAGGGATGCTCCGGGCGTAGGGGACGGGGTTTTTTTCACTAGATGGCAGCAGAGACTGTGGGATGTGATGCTCAAGCTGGTGGCAGGGCCACCCTGGGGACAGTGGATGCCTGCAGAGGGTGCTGAGCTGCAGCCCCATCCTGCTGGGGTGGACAGTGTGAGCCTTCCTCCTCCTCCTCCTCCCTGAGCATCTGCAACCCAAATCCCCACCTGCCCGCCTGGCCCATGCAGCAAAATGCATGAAAATGGGTGAAATGCATGAAAATGGCCCAACTTGAAAGCCACAGTGGAGGTGGTGTTGGCTAAGCGAGGACTGGGGTGGTGTCACCCCATTTTTTTCGGGAGATGTAGCACCCTGGGGTGCTGGGCGGGGGTCTGTGGTCTGGCCACATTTCTGGCCAGACTTGAAGCTGCTTCTTCAAAGCCCTGGCGTTACAGGGCTCTTGGAGCCTTTGATTTTGTGGGTGACCTGGCGGATGAAAGGTGCTGTCCCACTGCCACACCATCCCCACTGGGGACTCGCCCAGCTTGTTTTGCTGGTGTGGCTGCCAAAATGGGTTTGGAGGGTTTGGGGTTGTTTTTCTAAAAACAAGTTGGTGCTCAACAGGTTCAACCTCAAAGTGGGGCTTAAGGCCCCAAAAATGAGGTTTAGGACTGGGGTGGTTTTTTTTTTTGGTCTTGTGTGCCCAGCTTGGTGGGTTTTTTTGGGTGCTCTGCAGCACCCAATACAAAGCAGGTGCATGGGGTCCCTCGCCCCTGTGCCGAGTCCAGGCCAGGCCTGTGACAGTGGTGACAGCCACCTTGGCTCCTCTTGGGGCACTTTGGTTAAAGCCAGTGGGACAATCCATGGGTGCAGTTGGCTGACGTGGAGGAGGTTTGGAGACACCTGGGGCGAGCCCCCGGTGTGGTCTGGGGGTGTCCCTGGTGCCAGAAGCCATTTGCAAGGCTCCGGTTTTGTTTTCCAGCTGGTGTTTGCCTGCCTGGTTGGCATGTGTTTGTTCTCCTGGCGACGCCCTGCTTGAGCTTATTTGCTTTTCTTTGTGTAAAGAAATGCTGCGTAAAAGCCTCAGGTGCAGGAAACATCCCTGGGTCCTCACCTTGCTGGCTCTGGCAGCCCTGCCCCATCCCTCGGGGACAGGGACGCGGAGCATGGGGTGCCCTCTGGATGAACACAGCCCCTGCCCTCGAGTCCCTCCAGTGCTTCCCTGGTTGGACCCACCATCCTGCCTTCCCACCTCCCTGCTGCCCACGCTCCTTCCAGGCCCAAACTGACCCCTAAGAATATGATTAGGAGATTAAATCAGCCCGTATGTCCTCCTCACTATCGCACAAGGCGCTGGTGGAGTTGTCCTCAGGCTTGCTGGCTCTCCAAGACGGATTTCTGCTCTGATTCACCCACTGCAGGGCGCAGAGTGGCTGTAAAGATGCTGTGAGACCCAAGGCTCTGCCCATGAGTCACAGCCCTTGTGGTTGTGACACCATCACACAAAAAAAAAACACGGGACAGTGACAGCCACCGCTTGTTAGCGGGTACCTACACAAAAATAAATGGGATGATGCTGACAAGCATATGGTTTGGTTTGAGTTTTATTCCAGACCTGGGAGAAAGGCAGCCTCCTGCAGCGGCAGTGACATTGCTCTGGCAAAGCCCCATGTGAATCCCCTTTGGTGAGTGGCTCGATGCCATTTCGACTCCATCCGAGCGGTGGAAAGGGTTTTCCAGGGAGGGCTGGTGCTCAGAGGGCTGGCTGCTCTCTGGTCTGGGCAGCCTAGGAAGGATGGGAAAGACCCTGACTCTCATTTTGGCCCTCTGCTACCTGTGTGTGTTTGCTTGGGTGTTTTGGGAGAGCCTGGGCTGTGGCTACTTACCTTCCTCTCAGCAACAAGAGAAGTTTAAGACCTCCATCACCCTCTGTGCTGGTACACACACCAGTGGGCTGGCAGTAAGGTGGGTGAAATATAATCAAAATAATGGGTTCAAAATAATTGTTTCCCCTTTTCTGAGGGTTATATTTAACCTGGATTTCCCAGACCCAGTTGGTGCACTGGGGTGTGGTTGCTCTGCTAGACACCACCTGAGCAACCGCCTCTTTGCTTCTCATGAGGTTAGAGATTACTTCTTATCCTGCAATGACATCTCATTTTAATTTTTACTTGCCCTACTGCTAAGCCTGTCTTTAATGAGAGGCTCTGCACTGAGATCCCAGCCATCATCCAGCACAGGAGAAAAAGAATTGATTAGAAGTGTATTAAGACTTCTTGGGCTTCAAGGAGATTGCAGTTATCTTTGGCTTTTATACCTCAAACTCTGTCCTTTTGTTCTCCCTGGTGTGTTTTTTTTATCGCTAGTAACAGAACTGGTTTTGTGCTAGAGGAAGCAGCAACCACCTTGTATGCTCTGAGCATGGCAAACACTAACGAGGGTTGGGGAGTGCTGAAGAACCCTCCCCAAATGGAGATGACCTAAAATCATAATGAAGGGGGGAAAAAAAAACACCCTTCAAAGAATGAGTGTCACTTTTCATCTCAATTAAGTTTCCTTTCCTAGGATTGGGTTTCTCAGCTTCCTATTAATCTTACAGCAGTTCCGAGTCAGGTTTTAATTTGTAATAAGAGCAAGCAGTGGTAAGGGACAAAAAAGCAAGCTATTGCTCTACAGCCTATGAGCACCTGTCTGAAGAAAACTGATTTTCTTTTTGCCCTGTTCTTTAATTAATCGTAGTACTTCCTTTGGAGTCTTGTCTTTTGACATCGACATCTCAGTGTCAGGTTTTCAGGGGTAAAAAAATCCTTGCTGCTGAATCCTAGACTGCTCAAATACTAGCAGGAGGCACAAATTAGAAATAGCCATGATAAAGCATTTGGGGGCTTGGTTTTAAAGGGCATTTGCTAAACCTGGCTTGGCAATGCCCATAGCCAATTGAAGCCACCTAATGAGGGCGTGTTGCCTGCTGGGCAAAGGCGGAGAATTCTCTTTAGCAATCCATTTTGCCACAGCGATTAGTGTAAAAATTCACCATAGAGAGGAGGATTTCTTTGAAAGCAAAGTGACTTTTCTTGTTAGAGGTTCAAAGGCCAGTGATTTCCAGAGGAGACTAAGGCTTTTCCAGGAGGGAACAGGGTGTTTGGGGGGTGTAGCCATGCTGGAGGGGTTACATTCTTCTTCTTTGGGACAATCCTGTGCATGGGCATCTCCCTCAGGCACTGGGGGTGCTGCCTTGTGGACGGGGAAGGCAGTTTTTGGGGGGGCTTGGAGCTGCATCTCGATCACTTCTGTGCCAGTTTTGTGATGAGAGCTTTCCACTCCGATCTCTTCTGCGTGATGTAGGAGGGAGTGAGGAGCTGCAGCAAAGGCTCCGGCCGGCCCTTGAAGTATCCCTGACACAGAGCCTCTGTGTTGCAGATGACGTACATCCCACAGTCATAGCTGTTCTGCTGGGCAGGTGCCTTCTCCTCCACGAAGGTTGCTTTGCCCCCTCTTTTGCCCAAGAAGGCATCCAGCTTCCCTGCCACTTGCTTGGCGTGGACAGAGTTGCATTTACTGTGGGAATCGTAATGGGCGAAGCACTTTTTGTCCCTGAAATAAACTAGTAAGCTCCAGTGGGTGCCCCCAGCGATCTGGTTGGAGTTGTCATTGATAGGCAAGAACACCAGCTTCTTGTGGAGAAGGTCCAGCGGTTGAAGGAATATGGCTATTTCTTCCTGACTAAGGGCACATTTAATGAACTGAGCCACTTCGGGGCTGATAAAACAAACCTGATCGCTAAATTCTTGGAACTGGTGGTTGGCGAAGTACTCAAAGGCAAATCCAATGATATGATCATTAAGCCAGTTTGGGGGCTCCAGCAAGGCAACATCTGACTGCCTCAGCAAACTGTCCATGTAACTGAGAACAACAGGGTCCATCCTGTACAGGTCAGGGCTGCAGCACTCCAGGAAACTTCAAAAGCTGAAACATAGAAAGGGAAGATGAATTAAGGAGTTAGATCACACCTGGGACAAGATACAGTGCAACAAACATCTTGAGTTCCTTCTCAGCAAGCAGTGAGCAAAAGCCCATATTTCCCAGACGGATATTTGAAGCACCAGCGTTTGAACTATCTGCCAGATGAGCAGATGGAGGACATGCAGTTCCTCATCTGCAGCATGTGACGGGTTGAGCCGGGCTCTTCTGCTGCTCTAGGAGCAGTGTGTGGCTCTGGTTAGATAAATGTTTCATCGTTATGATCTTAACCTCAAAGCAAAGTGATTTCAAAGCAGTTCCTGCTCAGGAACTGCAGGCACACCTTCAGTTCTGTGCTTTGCACAGAAACCATTCATGATCTTGGAGAAGTTGGTTGGTGTTTTGGTGTTTCAGTGTTTTACTTGCACAGTGACAAGCACTGTAATTCTTTGCATCGCTGGTAATTCTTTAAATAAAAGTCTTTTCAGGGCTGTCTGGCAGGCATACAGTCCCTTTTGCCTAGCAGATAGTGCCACAGCTCGGTGCTAGACGCATGACCTGTTCCAGGAAAACCTGCTGGCCTGCCAGCACAGGAGGCAAGGCGGTGATGAGCATGGAGAAACAAAGCAAAACAAGATCACAAACAAACCAGTTCCCTAGCATGGGAATCTTTAGAACAACTCTCTACCTAGCCAGCAGAGATTTCAATAACTCAAGTACCACCAAAGCTCGATGGTCTGCAAAATACCTATTGTTTTTTAGCTCAGGTTTTAAATTGACAAAATTTTGCTCACAAAAGGAGAAAGCACTCGTGGGTACACTGAGGGGTGGAGAACCCTGCAGGCTTCCACTGGTGAATTCCAGCTGCAAACAGGAGTGACCTCTCATGTCGACCCCCTCTTTCCAATCTTTTACTCTGTTATTTGTCCAGGCTACATTCTTCCTTCTTAATCTGTGCCTGCTTTCCACAAATAGCAGCTGCTTATCCTTAAAAAGGTGCCTGGAAATTCAAGTAGACTGTAGCACCTGATTCTCCCCACCCACGTGTTTGAGGATGTACTCAAGGGACTTCAGCAGGTCTTCCAGGCAAGACTTCTCCTGACTCCTTTCTGTTTAGCAGGTTATCTGAGTATCCACTAATTCTGGTCTTTCTACCAGTCATATCATTCGTTTTCAGAAGCGGTTGTATTTGCTGCCTTCACGTCCCACGGGGATTAAAGTGTGTTTTGAGAAAGAGGTTGCACAGCACGCTAGGAGGTGCTATTCAACAGACAACACGAAATACTTGTGGCACCAGACTAGGATTTAGGAGGAGATCTTCAGAAAAGAAACTGTTGATTTAAACCCCTTATATCCGCCCTGGTTTTCCTTCTGCTCTTGCATCCCCTGGCCTGGGCTCCTCAGCTGCTGTGATGCACCATCAGCCCCCACCACTTCTCTCCTTGCCAGGACAGGGCTAGAAATGCCACAGCTTGGGACAGTGGTGACGTGGAGCTGGTTTGGCCTTACCCTTTCCTCATCTGTGCCAAACGCAGCATGAAAACATCTTAGGATTTCTTAAAGCACCGTGTGAAAGCTAATAACGATAAGATCACTTTAATATGATTCACTATAAATAAGACACTAATTATCCATTATGATAGGGGAAAATAAAAAAAAAACCCAAGTGTTGTGTTGTTTACATGTTAGGAAGAAGTAGATTTGTGCTTCTTATTGTGACGTGAATCATGAAGAAAATCCTTCCTGGCCAGGTATGCATAAGTTCAGAGAGATTTATCTCTAAAAAATCTTGGCAGGGTCACATCACATGTAACTTGTAAATAACCGAATGGATAAAGCATGCTGTATGTGTAATATATCGGAAGGAAGGGCCGAGGTAGAGTATCTGGGGCTTGAAAAAGCTAATAACTATTTGTGTATTGCTGATAGATCCGAGACATACCAAGCAGCAAGAGTCACTGAAAAGGAAGGGGAGCAGCCATTGTTACTTATACTGAGCCAAACACAATGGTATTTGGACACACTTCCTACGTTAATGAGCTCGAATTATTTCCAAGTTTGTGGGGCAGATCCTTTGCAACAGCCTGCAGTATAAAAACAAAACAAAAAATCTAAACCAAGTCCCAGCAACTCCGTAGCATGCCTGAATACAGTCTTGTTTAAAGAGCTGTACGTCCTGCGAGCCTAGAAGTAACCAGTTTGCAGGTTTAACAGGGTCACTGCTGAAATATTTTTTGCATGTGTCCATACAATGCCCCAAATTTTTCCTTTACTGCATGTTTTTTGTGCTTCATCTTCTCCTAGGGATGTACAACATACAGCAAATAGCTTTCCACTCAAGTCCAAATAGGATTACAGGCTAGGGAAGGTAGTGTGTGTCCTGTATTCTGTTAATTTTCCACTCTGCAGAAACAGCGTTTGTGTGTTTCTTCAGTCAACGGGGGGACAAAAAAAAAAAAAAAAAAAAAACCCCAACCAAAAAACATTTGGCAGCTTCCTACAGTCAGGAAGGGAGAATGGTTATAGCAACTCCTTAATTGCCACTAGCTACTACTTTTAATTTTATTGCCATCTGGTATTTGTGAAACTGTGTGTGAGTCCTGCAGGATGACTCACCATGTACAGCTTAAAGGAAAACCCTTCGTAGGCTCGGACACCTTTCAGAGCCACTTAAGGTAAGTGGCGAGTACCGAAAAAGAGTAGTGGAGCTGCAAAAAGACATCAGAGAGGTTGTTTTGTTAGGGAGAACCTTCCCATTAAAGCTGAAGATGAATCCACAGAGAAGCCAGGACATGGATTAAGCACATTTGACATTAAGGGGTGTTGAAATCCAGTCGCAGAATCGCAAATGGCTCTGCTCAGACATGGACAGGATTTGCTTCCTGAAGGCTCAGGCACACTCTGTTCAGAAGTTTTCATAAAAATAGGAATAAATAGTGACGCAGGCGTGGAACATTTGTTGTAGGTTGCCAACAAGAGTCTTGCTTGTTCATTTCATTTGCATATTAGTAGTTGGAATTTGTGCAAACTCTCTGTAATTCTCAGCTTCTGGGAGGGATATTCATCTGCTCCATTTTGAATGCTAAGATGAGATCACCAGGGAGAGAAAAAGGAGCATTTCAATAAAAATGTCATCAAGCCAACCAAGATGAAACCGCCCATTTCATTTATAGATTTGAAAACTGTGCTATCTTGCACCAATATGGCAAGAATTCAAGTTTCTCTCATCTCTAAGTTATAACAATTTAACAAATAAGCCGCCATCATTAGCACAAGGTTGATACATAAACTGATGGGACTCCTTCATGTCCAGGATGCAAGGCAAAGCCTGCGTTTTGTAATACTTGACAAAAAAAACCCAAACCTGTTATTTTCACAACATTAAAGACAACTCCCTTCCGCATGTTAATTGTTGCCTCGCACTCTGAAGGCAGCTCTTGAGAGCTAGGGAATGAAACTCCCTAGCAATTGAGTGTAAATAGGCAGCGATTGAGCAAAGAGAGCATCAATTAAGGATGAATCAGATTCCTAAAGTCTACTTTAATAAATTAAAGGTGCTAAGAACATCCAGAGTGAACATTTTAAGGTGCTATGTCACTAAACTCCTGTACCAAATTTCAAGAATATGGAGGTAAATACAAAAAGCCACCAGAAAGACAAATTATTCAGACTTTACCGGGGAAGAGCAGGAGGGACAGCGAAGTTTTCAGCAGCTTGGCTGAGCTCTTTGGAACAGTCAAGAGTAAAAGGCCCCATGATTTAACCACCAGACCATTCCCTTTTACTGGAAATACAGTTTTTAGACACCGTGTCAGCGCTCTTAGTAGTGGTCATTGTTAACGGTAGCAAGATCAGACAAGGAACATCAATTTCTATTTATCAGTGTGAGCTGGGCTGGGCTACCAGCATCTGAGTCTCCGTACTTATCTGTCTCCTAACAGAGCCAGAGAAGAAACGCAAGCAAAATTAAACAACTACGCCAGAAAAGAAGTGTACTTGTCTACTCTTTTGTTAAATAGAAGCAATCTCTTTGTAGCCTACAGATCATAATTCCTGTATGATATGAGAACAGAACCTCTGCAGGTTCAGTAGGCCCTGAATGCCAGACCCAGAAGAAAACATTCATAATTTCCGTATGCACAGACAATGCCCAAACCTTTCCATTCCTGACAAATTCCCTAAACCAGACACGTGCAGCTGCTCTACACAACCAAACTCCAGAACCCTGCTTTGTTTCAGAACATCTCACAGGGCAGTAAACGAAAAGCCAGAGGAACTACACCAAATGCTACTAAACCAAACACATTTTGTTCCCCAGGATGGGGTTGGCCAAAGCATTAAGTTTAACACCAAAAAAACCCAGTGACCTGAACGCCCAAGGATGAGAGATGCCACCAAGACTCTCCCAGAGGTAACAATTCAGCTCGGTCCATCGAAATGATGTTAAACTGGATGTCGATGTATCGCATTCACCTACTTTGAGAAAGAGTTTATTCAAGAGAGTAGTGGGAAGTGCTGGGAGGGAATCTAATTCGCCTGAAAGACCTAAAGGTGGCAGGAATTCGGTCACGAGAAGGAATTTGGTCAGCAGCACGGATTCGGGTTGTCATTGCTCTGTGGAGACACGATCCACGGCACCCAGGCAGAGGAGCAACATACTTGACCCTGAGCTGCTCCTGGCGGCTAGCAGTTGGTGCTGGTCAGGATCAGAGCACGTGAGCAGCCCTCCAGGCTCGCTCATCCCGCTGCTGCTTCTAAGGAAATAAATGAGAATTAAGGGGAGAGGAGAGGGTCCACCCGGGCTGTGGGACCCGGGCCGGGGCTGGGGTCAGGGTCAAGGCCGGGGTG